CCGAGGTATTCCCAACCCCATGGAAAATATCAGAACTATTTCCCACTCCCAAACGCGGCGGCCACTCAGACTCAAATAACTACCACCTCATCTCTCAACTCAGTTATTTTGAAGGTTATGGAATCAGGTCATCGCTGATCAACTCCACCGCCCTCTGGAGCGGAACAAGATGCGTAGAGATCGTCAGTATGGTTTTTGATCTCATCGGTCTACCGGTGATCTTATGGTGCTCATTCCGCATACGTGATCAGTGGAACTCGAGAATCACGGAGAAACCCATTGGATATATCTAAAGCTTTCGATCGTGTTGGGCACACGGTCCTGATGGCTGAACTATCCAAGTTTGGCTTTTCTTCGGGACTTGTGTCCTGGACAGTAAGCTATCTCAAGGATCGCAGCCTATCCGTTTGGGTGGATGGGACTTTGTCTCGTTCCGTGCCGGTGAATGCTGGTGTTTCCCAAGGTTCTGCACTTTCCCCTTCTCTTTTTCTAATGTTTATTGATGACCTTTCTTCAACTTGAAATCTTATTCACACCTTTGCCGATAACGCTACCCTACACTCTTTGTCCTATTCCTCTTTACGCATCGCTACCTCCCCCACTAGTGATGATCGCTCCTCCCTCAGCTTCTCTCTAAATTCTGACTTGGGCCTTATTTCTTCTTGGGGTCGTCGCAACAGTGTTATCTTTAATGCCAGTAAAACCTCCCTTATGTCAGTTTCTGTTAAACACGCATCTTTCTCTCATGCATTAAATTTTGACTCGGGCATTCCACTTTCCACATTCATGCGACCTATTGAAATTTTCCTTATCTTCTCTCGCAATCACTATATATTTATCTACTTGTCTTCTGTGCTGCTCGCAAAATCGGTTTCCTCTTTCGCGTCAGACTTTTCTTCACCCCTATTCACCTCCGCTTTACAAAGCTCAGATTCACCTTACACTTGAACACTATAGTTATATGTGGGGTGGGGCTTCGTTCACCTCTCTTTTCTTGATCGGGTTCAACGTAAGGCCATTCGTTTCATCAATGACCCACTCCTAACATGCAACGTGCAGTCACTAGCTCACCGTCGGTCAGTAGCTTTTTCATTCTTATCCTGTCGATACTACCTTGGATTTTGCTCTAGTGAACTTCCCGCTGCCGTCCCTCTCTCGTTTGTTCTTCCTCGTAGATCCTGCGCACAATTGGTTTGCCACCCATTGCAACTGACTATCCCCAGGTGTCGCATTTCTAACTTTCAGTCATCTTTTCCCCAAGAACAGCAAAACTGTGGAACACTCCTCCTTTCAATCTTCCTTCCAGCTTACAGCATCCTTGCCTCTAAACGCAGAATCAACAAGCTGGTTCCAGCTTGTATGTTCCCCTCACCCTCTCAGATACCACATATCCTTGGGTTAAGGGGTTTACCCCTTTTACTGTGTTCATTTACACTTAATAAAAAAGTTGGTTTCAGAAGAGCAGAAACCACAAATAAGGGACAACAAGGCGATCATCTGGAGATCGTCTAGTGACCACTAGTGGGACGTTGGTGAAAAGCTATTGAAGAGTACTGTGTCGTGCAGTACAAGCACACACCAATAGCGCGAGGCATAGTATCGACGTGGGACACACTGCACATCCCAAGAAAGTTTGAACAACACAGGACAATACAATACACGTAGCACTCACAATTACGATAAATTGGAACACAGATTGGACGCCTACATACGACGCACGATGTCATCTAGCGGAAGTACATGAACTCTGAAGCACGTACCCCAATGACCACAGAACTCCTCTGGCCCCCAAAGCACGATTACAGCATAGAATACATACCACAAGCTTTAGTAGCCTTCTCCCAGTAGTGAAAGTATGATCACAGGCGGCAAGCGACGGACGTGTACTTGACACAAACGACAAGTAGGATTTACAACGTCAACTCATCTGCTTATATACTGTTCCGGTCCCTGGACATAGAGACCTTGAGAACTGATGCAGAAAATGAGATTTACCTAAATTGACCATTAAAACTAGAGGTGAAGGGAGAAGGCCAAAATGACGAGAAGAGAGTTCAATTATAAAATGGGAATTTAAAAGTACTCGAAGATAAAACAGTTTCGGGCACAAATAACCTTTTTACCTAAAAAAGAGGCAAACTGATTCTCGTTGTATATGGTCGAGCGAGGATAGGGATAAAAGGAAAAATATCCCACATGGCTGCTGTAATGAAAGTAGTGGAAATCTGGCCCCTTAGCATAAGGGGCAAACAATAGGTCCAATTAAAGAACAGTCCAGTACCGATAAGAAATCTATTTCACGCGCAGCATGGAAAAGGGGGAAAAATATAGCGATAGATCCAGGTGAGGTATTGGTGAATAAAATAAACCAGAAAGAACACAAGTTTTGAGGAACGCTAGTATCAAAGTATAAATAGGATAATGAATCTTGCTGAAGTCTTGAAGAACTTGATAGAGCACAATATTCAAAGCGCCGTGTTCAGGTATGTGCAAGCCGTAAAAATGTAGTTACACTCCTCCTCGGTGATGGCAGAGAGGCAGGAAAATAAGCAAACTAGCTTCATCGACAGAATTCCGAATGGAGTTAGAAGTTGAAACATAGGTCATTCACAAAGGAAAGAAAAGATAACCGCAGTGCTGTCAATGATAGGCTGAAAGATTAACTCACCAAATTAGACGTTTGGAATACAACCATTGGGGAAATTTGAAGTCTGCGACAATCATTGGATCAAGCCCGAATATGTAGTGTTGCCGGTAGTTCTCGACGCCTCGACACAATCGGAAGCTTTTTAGATCTTCGTGTAAAGCTAAAATTTTGGTTCTTATTTACTCGTGCACTAAATGTTCTCCAGATATTAGTGATTTAGCAATTTTTAATCTTCTATCGACGTGTATTAAGTGTTTTTGTAGGAGCCTATCCTGAGGTTTGGTTAATCAGTTCGGAGGTTGTTAAGTCAATCTTGAAAACTGATTGTTACAATCTGCAGGACATGAACCACACACGCATATATGCATTCCATACAAATATATGTCTGCACATATATGATAGCGAGAATGATGTCAATACGCAAACAGTAAAGGAGCATTTAGGTACTGCAGACGAATTGCACAGTATTCGCGCCACTGACTTCAATGCCATCTCCGAGTGGCTCTAACCATTCTCATCCTTTGGACCCTAACTTGGAAGACGGGCTACACCAGTGGAAGTCAATATTGAAGCTGACTTCACACCCCAACGGTAACTCCTTGTTTTACCGTCATATCTTCTTTTTGGCCCTGCCTATCACGCACAAAGAGAGCATCTAGAAGTAGATGTTGTGCAAGCATGGCTGTGCCATCAGAAGAAGTGGAGTGATTTTCTTTTTCACAACGCATGACACCTCGCCATCGCCTACCCTATGTTCCCACCAGACACGAGCAATGCTTCCAAGACGTCAGTGGACGAATATAGAAAGCCAATTAGGATCCTCAGCGCGGAGAGGCCGGATCTCGCAACTGTAAACCATAACAATCCGAACCATATCAATCTACGCCTTTCCCTCAAGAGAAAGTTGGATGTCATAGCGATGTCACAGGTGTCACAGGCTGACATAAACCACTCTGGTTTTAGCTGTTTGTGATGTGATCTGCGAATTTGATTGACCATTTGATGTGCTTCGCATCGCGGTGCAAATCTGAATGACAGCAGATTTAAGAGAAAACTAGTCATATTGTGCTATTTTGACGTGATATATGTCAGTTCATATGTGCATTCACGTTTCCTTCTCATGAATGTGTTTATATTCGCCAGGTTATTACACCGTTTGTGTTCGGCCAATCAGTACATTGGTTTTCCCAGTTTGCAGAGATGAAAATATATACATCTGTTCGATTTCATCTGGTGCGGCGTTGTTCGATCTCTCGACTTAATATTACTCTACTCCGCCCTTAAAAAGAACTCGTTTCCTCTGTTAGCTCTATGGATGGCGTTCTTCGCCTACACAAACTAGTTTTTGTAATAATATTTTGTCTTAATTTGTCTGTTTTCATTTTATCCTGTGTTATGCATAGCTTTCTCGGGTTTTGCTGGTCGTTTTTAACTTATGTGGTTTTCCGTGTGCTGAAAGTTAACTGTTTTCCATCCATAGCGTTTCAGTCCGGTTTTCGTTTTCGTAACCCTAGTTTGTTTTCGCCATTCACTTCTCAGTCGATTTTTTTTAGTGCGGATTCAGTAAGAACAGGTTTACTGACTCAACATAATTTTTTGAGACAACCCGATGACCAGGCTTGCCTTTGTAGATCATGTCAGGGATAACCGCATTTTCTCTGAAAATTTCTGCAAAAGCGATTCAAAATCAGTTGAGCTAATCTCTGCCGTTGGAAGTTGCCGATTTCTACTCGATTCTACTGGATTTACGGAAACCAAGGTGACGGGTAAAATTAGACATTCTCATTGGTCCACTTGGTATATTGGCCCTCGTTTTTCACTCGGGAAAGATCACTACTGTGCGCAGTGCTATAAATAGAGCACGTTTTCGATCATTCGTCCGCAATTTTTTGGTGCTTTGTGTAAATGCTCGCATTTTTGCGATTGTTTTCGTATTGGGAATAGTCGGAAAGTTTTTTTAGATAGAATTCGATGACTTATGGACAGACACAATAGGTCGCATTTTGGTTTCAAAGAATCCACCATAACACTAGCTTTTAAATACACCATTTGACACCAAAATCTCTCCCATTGTCTTATTTTCACCATAGTAACAGATTCACTTCTTTCTCCTCGTTGCCATCACACGTAATGCCTTCCTATCTTCTGTTCGTGTTTTAGGTGCTTATGCAAGACAAATGGATCAATGCAGGATACGCTCCCAGTGAACAGTTGCGGCCTTATAAAGAGCCTCCGAAGTCCCAGCTAGATGAAGTTCGTGTCAAAGCCATGGAAGCGATGGGATTTACACGTGCTGATTTAGAGTCGTCTGTTGTCAATCCTGAGTTCGATCATGTCTACGCAACTTATCATCTTCTTCCGGAAACACCTTCGCAGTTCATGGTGTAAGTAATCTCAATCAACTAGCTCCCTATCCGCTCATTTTTGGGCGCTGAGAACGTTTTTATCTTTTTCCAACAAGGATTCTCACCTTTCGTTCAGCATTTCTCAATGAGCCGTTAATCACTTTGCTCACATCCGTTCTGTTTCAGTCGGTTTTGCGTATTGGCCACCAATTTGGAGGCGCTGTTTCACTTAGACAAAAAACGGTCGATAGCTTGTCTCGGTTGGTCACCCCGATATTTATCCTATTCCAATCCCTTTTTCTCAACCGCGCCCCAGATATGGAGAGGCTCGCTCCACCTACCATGCATCCATATCCAATCGATCTGTTGCTATCCGATTCAATAGTATTAGTAATGATTGTTGGTCGTTTTCAATTGATTTGTTAATCATAGATTGCTACTGTTTGTTCATTAGATGACAGCGCTCACGTTTCGGTGTCAAAAGCGTTGGAAAGAGAGGAAATTTAGTTGCTACGTACTGTTGCACGGTATTCCATTCGTTGGTATGTGATAGACAGAGAGATGGAGGTAATGGGAGTATATAAAAGTGATCTGTTTGGTTACGCTGTATCATCGAAATGGAACTGTTGAGCTTCATCAATTTTCATTCTTTCATTTCATGTTTCCATCTTCAGCGTGTCTTGAATGCCCAGCAGTATTGCGCAGAGTTTATACAGGTTGAAGCATATATTTCCTGTATTTACTCAAACAGAATTCCGAACTAATTTGATAGCTTTTTAGAACATGGAAATGATTTGTTGCATGAGAAACTAACATGATGCATTTAGCAACTCCTAGTCACATTGCTGGTCCTTTTGTGAAAGTGTAGGTACATGTAATCGCTTTACTTGCTAGAGTTGTGTCTATCAAAATATCCCACTTACTGGCCCTGACAGAATATGTTTACTATGCCCCAATTATTGCTGGATGTATTGTTTGCTAAGTTTCTGCCGTTCACAAAGCATTACATAGTTTTTACATCCGTATTGTCATGTACTGCGATCTGTTGTGGCTAAATGAAAGAAACTATTCGCTATTTCGCCGTAATTTACAGTGATTTTTATGGTCATCTAATTTTAGACTTTGCGAAGAGCTGGCTCTTGGTGGTCGTAAGTCACAAACTTCTGGAGCTTATCGCAAACCACTTGCCGGAGCCGGTAATCAACCCGCGGCTGTTCCACCAGCACCTCCCACAGCTATCGGTCGGTTTACGGTGGCCCCAAGCGAAAATGTTACCGATGTTTCCTCCCGGAACCCAAGTGTGGTGACTCCAATGATTCCGTCCATTGACTCTCCGGCAAACGCTTCACAGCGTAAACAGCCACCTTATCCTATGACTGACTCTGGTTCAAGGGAGCACCATTCGTTGACTTCCGCACTGCCGGTTGCTCTTCGCAAGGCCATCGTCCAAATGGGACGAACATTTGGTGCAGGGGGATCGTATAACACTAGCACACCAAATTCAGGCTCTAGCGTGGGACCTGATGCTCATCAACGTTCTACCACCTCGGCTACATGTACGTTGATGAGCATCA